GCAGAGGTCTATTTGAACATCCATGAAACTGTGTGCACCCCTTTGGTTTTAAACACCCATGCGCTCGTGAGCCCCCCCACGCACAAACTTAAGACTATTTGAGCCAGCCAGCCTGCTGCATCAGCCCGCCCAAACTCTGTCTGCAAGGAGCGTTGCAGCACATGGTCGTCAGTCTCCTCAAAGCGCTTGACAGGTGGCAGTGCTGGTGGCTGGTATGACTCCGCCAAAGCTTTGAAAGACACTGCATCCAGCGGCTGTGTGTCGGCAGTATCGCCCACAGCTTTGGCAGCAGCCCTCTTGGCAAGAAGACACCTGCAGCTCAATACTTCCCCAGTGGCAATGCCACATGCGGCCCACTATTTTCTCTATGTTCTCAAAAGGCAAAATCTTGTAAGAGACTCAAACAAGAAACCGTACTTTTTTCGCCCTCTCCATCATCTCAGCAACTGAGAGCCCAGAAGTCACAGGCGGTTGAGCCAGCCCTTCCTCTGCTTGTTTCTGAGGTGTTTCAAGAGAACTCACTGGCTCCATCATGACCAGTTGGCAGTCGCTATCATCATGGTTGAGCGAGGCATCTTCCACTTTCAGCTGGCTCTTCACCTGATGGGGGACTTCGCCTAGCCATTGTGAACCATACGCCCTGAAAACCCAACAGGTTTTGCACATAATTACTTTTGGGAGGTGCCATGTTGAAGGGGTCCCTTGTGAGGTGTCCATGAACACACAGCCAAACACATCATAAGGCCGCCCATCCCCTGCAAACGCTTCTTTGAAGCCAGCCCAAGAGAAAATTCAACATGTTAAGTTGATCGATGTTTGCTTGTTTGACACTCCCCACCTTTGAGTTTTTCCCAGGACTGGCCATGCCATAAGAATCCGACTTCACAGTCATGAAAGCACTGAAATCACTCTCCTCGTCACCGCTGTCCACAACGAAGATCTCAATGGCATGTTCTGGCTTCAACCTCACACTCCAAAAGGAATAGATCACTTCATAGAAGGGGTTCAAGGCAGCATCCTGGGAGTGGGCACGCCAACTTCCAACCCGGACACCATTTTCAAAACTGAAAAGAATGTAAAAGACAAAAAACACAAAGACCACATACAAAGGAGCTAAGGCTCTCGTCGGATCGGGCTTGAGGAAGATTCTTTGTCTGCTCCAGATCTCCGAACCCCGTAGCTGAACAACTTCTTCAACCCCCAGGCATCTGCATGGAGAATTGCAGGGTCGTTTGGAAGCTGAAAGATTGCACGTAGAGCTGCGACCTGAACAGGGGCATGTTGCGCATGTTGGCCCCTAACCCTTAAACCTTCAACACATTTTTCACATTAATCAACATCAACCAGTGATAAAATATTATGGACCATGATGGACCCAAATCGGCTGATGTAATATGGTGACATGAATATACGAATAAGCGCAACCAATCCATGGAGCCACATGCGCTCCCCACCTCCTTCCTCACTGCATGAACACTAGGACTCTTAGGCCCAGATTGCTTGGGGCACCAATCCTCTGCCAAAATACGAAGGGCGTGGATGTTCAAGGATATGGAAGCCATGGTCGGCTTTCCAACGAGCTCAGGTTTAGGCCACACAACGAGCATACCCTTGGATCGGATCCGGTTTCGGATATGGCGATTGGCCTCCCATTTCTCGGCTAGAGTCACGGGTCCTTCTTCAATGGTCTCCATCTCCAGCCGCAGGTCGCTCGCTGAGTGCTGATCGAGCTGCAATGGATGAAAAACGGCTTCGGCAATCAAAGCTGTTTGTCATCGGCATGCAGCTCACAGTCTTAGAAGGTGGTACATGCACCCACGTCTTCCAGTGGTATACTTATTTTGCCTTTAGGTTAGGAAACATGCCTACTGCAGGGCATAGTTTGCATTGGCACATGCTAACTTTGGCCAGGCTAGCCTGAATGACAAGAATGATCACGAATAGCACCCAGTGGAGACACCTGCCAAGCCGTTGAGTAGTAGCTTGCGAACTTGAGAATCTTGAGCGGAGCATATATCAAATAGTTTTAGAATTATTGTTTCAAAGAAGCGCTTGCAAAGATCTGCTCCACATGATTCTCTCAAAGACATTCCATGGTTTCAGCTTGAGGGAAGAAAAGCAGGCTTGCATCAGGTGAGAGCCCATGCCTCCCAACCTTCATGGAGTCGCTGCTTCACCACGCATGGCGGCCAATAGAGTTTTTGTTTTGTTCAAAAAGCTGGTCCTACAATATCCTATGAAGTGTTCGGTGCGTATTACCACTGTAGTAGTGGTTTGGTTGATGCATGGCTGCAAGCACCCTTTGAAACTTGGGAGTGAAGCAGCGATTGTTCAACCTGACATTAGCTCATGTGGGATTTGGGATCACGTCGAACCAGAGTGGCTGGATGCAGCCTGGCAGGCGGCGAAGAAGGGATGGGATCGGATCGGATCATTCTACCCAATAAAAGGGCCATCAGTGGTCACATTCCGGTTGAAATGTGCTTTTTGCAAATCTTGCCTCTAGGCAAAAATTCATCCTTCTTGATTCCAAAGGCATTTATTTTCTTAAAGGCAAAATAAGTACTACCACTGGAAGACGCAGGTATATATATTAGCATAAGTGCCTCTACCGCAAGCAGTTCCGTGGGCCTCGCTTGCAAAAACTTCCCCGCAACGCAGGGCACTAGAGAAGCCAATACAGGCTTGAGCCATGAAATTCCACCCTCCATCCGTCAGCCCAATGCGGCGCAGATTAACGGAGCTTTGCTTCCACAGCAGCCACTGCTACACTTGGCGGCGCTACGTTGGGAGAGTAGAATCTCCACTCTTCTGACCCCTCTTCCGTCAAGCCTGGCTGCTCTAGCCACGGCACTTGCGGGTTCGCCGCCAAGGCGACTTCCAAGTGGGGTGGCTTGCTATTACAAGCTACCGTGGGTCTTTGTACCCTGAGAAAAGCATAGAAAAGCCTGGTGAGGATTATGACACCTCTTTGCAACCAAAGCACGAGAACATTTGCAACACGAGAACATAGGTGTCTGGCCCCGGAAGCTGCGCAGCTTGGCCCCGGATGGTTCGCGAAGTTGCGTAAGTCCTCGAACCAACGGCGTGGCGCAGGTTATGCACCCGGCCCAGGGTTGTGGCAACGCTTTCCCACTTGCAGTGTTCGGTTCAAGATGTGGGCTGATTCCCTCGCCAAAACGGTTCGAGACAGCCTGAAAGGCCTAAGGCCGCCTCTTGAGGTATATATGGCGCGTAGTGGCCTGACCCACAATTGGTGCACCGCCACCAAGAAAGCCTGCAAAACGGAACACGTCCAAGGCAGAACGACCTCGCCTATGGAAGGGCTTGCTTAAATGCAAATAGGCGTGGCAGTGGACATGCTGAGGAGATAAAACCCCACGCTCCATGGTTGTAGAAGCACGCTGGGCCATCAAAGACGAAGCCGACGATAGGATAAATGCAGTGAAACGATCAAATAATCGCTTCAGGACTCCAGCTTCATGTGACCTCGGTGGCAGCGCTGTACGTCAACTGCACCGCTTGGAACTTCCACGTCCTGGCTGCCCCGTCGGCCTCATTGTCCTCACTGTTGGGTTGCTCTGCTGAGAGGGTCGAAGGCATGTGAAACTTGGCACGTGAGTGAAACGTGGCGCCCCAGGGGCCTGGCGAGCCGGGCGCGCCGACACTCAGTGCATTGACCCATTAGTTTCTGAAGCCATAGAATCCATTATGGACCATCTAGACCTACAGCTCAGCCTAGTTGCCTAGCTTTCAAACCTTGCAGCATCTTGCAGCATACATTGAAGGTACCAAAGTCTGATGCTTTAGATCGCCCAAACTTCCAGCAAAACTGCACTCATGTGGGAGTCTCTTGCCAGCTGGTCTGGTGAAAAACCTTACATCGAAGCGAACTTTCTGGGCCTACGTTACTGCGCTTGGAGCAAAAGGACCTGAGTGCCATTCAACCAATGATGTCCTTTTTGGACAAACAGAGGGGTCGATTTGGTATCATAAATATATATAATATATAAATACGTATATATGCGATCTGGTCGAAATATGTCGAAATGTGTTCTTCCAAAACTTGGCTGAAAGTCGTGTTCACGTGGGGGCCCGCTACATATTCTTTACTTTTGAACACACAGCTGGTAATGAAGGAGCAAACAAGTATTGGCGCCGCATTGTAAGAGGCGTCACTAGCGCTGCACCGTTTTCAGCTGATCTCCGAGCTTCAAGCCATACTTGAAATAAAAAACATGTTGCAAAGTCAGCCTTGGAAGGGTCCACTAGCGCGGATCTAGCGCAGTGCTAGCGCGCGGCTAGCGCATTTTTAGCCATCCATTTTTCAAAACCTGACGACGTTCTGAACATGTCCTAAGGCAAACACTAGCGCAAGTCTACCGCAAACCTAGCGCCCAGCTGCAGAATAGGTGTGTTTAGCTGGGGGCCCGCTACATAATTTTAATTTAATAAACAACATCAGAAGCTACTTTCGACCCCTTTATCGACCTTTTTTGATTATAGACTTTTGGCCGGACTCCATATGGTTGTTCATTTGGGGGGCGTCCCATCTATTATAACCAACCTGCCAAATCCCGCCAATAGTGAAAGGCCATCTATGCATTCAACACCAGGCTCCCCTTCCTAGTGCTATTCATTCTCCTGCAAATTTAAAGAACACACACGCTAAATCTAACTACATCCACATCATCTCATCTCATCTCATCTCATCCATCCAATCACAATTTACATACCTCAACACCCCAACCCATATAATCTATTGCTTAACACAACACATCATAACACGACATTCCAAAACTCACTCATTAAAAGTGGATGTCATGGCGCCCACTGGAAAGACCATGAAATCCATGGCGTCCAAACAGCTGTGTTTTCACTCCACTTCTATGTGACGTGTTCGTCACAGGGTCTGTCCCAGCATCTGCCCACCCCTCCACCCCTCCAGCGTGGCCGCGTCCCACGCTGAAAAGACCCTTCCAGTTTCTGCGCCCAGTGGCCACGTAGTCGGTGATTCCTGCCGCGCTGCCGCACGCGGCCGCACGCGTGGATGACGCGTGCGTTATAGGATGGACAGCGCGCTGGGCTTCGGGCTCTGGGCTGCCAGAAATCGGCGTTCATCCCATGGACGGTGTGTGATGATGAAGCATCCCATGGATACCGTCCCGTTTCCAACGAAGTCTTCAAACAAAGTCTTCAGGCTTTCGCCGAACGGAGACGAATCAGGAGGATTCCGCCCGCGCATGTTTGGACCGGGTTGGCTGTTCCTGGCCCAAACACCGAGACCTCTACCAGGACCCTCCAAGGGGTGCCCAATGGAAGCCTATAGGTAGTGTGAGGTAGTCCATTGGACACCCCTTGGAGGGTCCAGGTACCGTACCTGTTTCAGAGTCCGTGCTTTGTAATGATTTTGCTCGGGAGACTTGGAGTGGAAAGCAACCTGACAGGACTGGGCACCCCAAAACCATCCCAAGCCCAATGATGACCCATGAGTGGTTTTCGCCGTGTGACCACTGACTGGACACCTCCCTTCACCTCCTGTCAGGACTCCGCCCGCCAAGCACCACTCTTTTTCGGACAACGGACTCCCAAGAGAGGTTCAGTGACCTTTTCACCAGGACCCCGAATTTCCTGGGATACCGGTTCCTGGGATAGTCTAGTATACTATTACGGGTCCTGCCACACCTCTGTCGGTCCTCCCCAAAGAAGGATCCCCAGGATTGCCCCTGTGGCTGCCAGGTGGGGCCGCCCAAAGGCGGTCACAACCCACCCAGGTCTGAGGGTGACCTGTCAGGTCCCGTAGCGCAACTCGATCGGCCTGTCTGGTCGCTCAGCCTGTCCACATAGTGATGTTAGCAGAGTTCTGCTCAAACACATGAAGTCCATGCCTTAACATCTACTTCTGCTAAGCTACTGCTCCACATCATCTGCTAGGATCGACCTCGTGTGTCTTCTCGTGGGTCACAAAGGATTACGTCCTCACCGTTCGAATGGAGGTGTTACAGTTCAAACTGAGTAGTGTTTTATACTGCTCCAACCACCTCCTGACAAGGTGTTTTTTAATACATCGAGATTCAGTGGTTTTTCGCGCTGTTCGGACATTCGTATATATTACACAAAATTACACACACACAACACAACTTGCGATGTTTGTGCGTCTGCGATAAGCAACACCCTGATCTGTATGGTAAAAATGCTGGCATATAGTACACTCCCAGAAATATTCAGGCTACATGGATGGGAACATGGTCCCTTTTGTTCGGAGGACCATGAAACCAATCCAAAGCCTGCCCAAACAGCTGGTGTTCACTCACTCACTCACTCTCACTCACTCACTCACTCACTCCACGAAACCCCTCTGATTTTCAGGGAGTGCACGTCTGCGAGGTATACGAACAATGCCATATGAGCCTACATTGACCCCTTGTTCAACCACCTCAATTGATCAGCTATGACAGTCCCAGATGGCGGTCGTGTCTGGCAAATTCTGATTCTCTAAGACTCCGGGCCCTCAAAAGACTATAGTCACTATAGGATTTGGTTCGGGCCCCGACCCCTGCCAAGCGCCATGGAGAGCCCAAGGATGCTTACCCTAGGGCTCTGAGTAAATTCTCGGTGACGCCGAAACAGACCGTGAGCCGCTCAGCTACCCCGCTCGACTCGGTGGGCTCGCCTGCTTCTCGTAGCTCCTCCAGGAGCCCAGGATGCGAACAAATCACGAAGGGCTTCCGGATCAGTGCCTGTCCGAGCGGATGATGGAAGTCAAAGGGTGGAATGGAAGAAGATGGAAGTCTGACTTGCTTGATATCTGTCATCGGTCATTGAAAGAAGGTCGGCCATATACTCTTTGGTTGTCGTATCCCATTCCCTGGTTTCAGTGGATGCTGGGGCCTGGGCAAGCAGGCCCTTCCATCTCTAATAGTGATGTTCTGGGGGGGGGTGTTTTTGAATAGGGGGACCCCCGTTTTCAACTCGCCCCGTTGGCTGGGCATCACTTGTGGTCGATGTCCCGCTGAAAACGAACCCAAAAGGTCGTTGCCCGCTTGCGGTTCGGTCTGCCAATGTTCAGACCCATATACTTCGGGTCTATCCGAGTCTACCTGGGCCTCAGTGGATGATGATGGTAGAGGCCTTGTCCAAAAATAGTGATAATTGTCTACTGACTGTTACTAAGTAAGAACGGACAAACCCAACATATGCTCCAACATTGACCCCAGGTCAACCACCCCAACTGAATGGCAGTCCCCCCCCCCAGCGTCGTGTCTGGCAGTCTGCTCAGCATGGCTTTTTGCGTCAAACAGCTTGAGGGTTCTCTACTCCGAACATTCGCCGTCCGCCAGGCGCGCGGCCAATCCTGGAACTTCCTGCTACAGTCCCTGGAATCAAACAAAAGAATCCTTGAAAAACTGAATGCCGTCAACTTACAGTGACATGTCATGTCCATTTTTTTTATCATTTCATATCATTTCATGATTCAACTTGGGTGGCCGACCGGCAGCAGCGATTTGCTGTTCCTCCGTTTTCTCCGTTGGGGAGGATGTCCCCATGATGCTGTGGTATAGGATTATCTGACTATATCTGACTCACATGACTATCTCTACCTAAGCATCTGTGTGCATCCTGTTTGTGGGATCTCCGTGTTTGGGACCTCATTTATACCCGTTTGGGTCACAGTCTCGACGAGTCTCGTTCTGGTGCGGATGGTTCGAAATCGCAAGACTGGCCACTCGGAATCCGCTTGGCCGCGAGGCTGGTTGGTGGCCTCAACTTATACAAACATCCCAAGTAAAGGTCGAAAAGCGATGAAAAATGACACTATCTGAAACCATCACCCAGGAGTCCCGGGAGGGTGCTTGGGAACCACCTGCAACGGCAGTGACAAGAGATCGAAAGACCGTAAAAGACCGTAGCCAATGCATCTATACATCCTGCTAGATTAGAATAGAAGGTGCTAGATTAGAAGGTATACTGATTGAAAGTAGCGACAGGGGAAACATGTCAAATCATCTTCAACTACTATGACTATCTCATGGAAACCTACCTTCTGTGCCCATGAAAGACAAACATGTCAGAAGTTGAATCCCCACTCCTGTACCAGAAACTCGATCCCTTCAAACAAATACCAGAACACCCATGAGATCCCATGGGAATACACGGAATGTTTGGGATATACTTCCTTGGCGGCTCATGTCCTACAAAGCCTCAGACTTCTGAAAATATTTGGGAGCCCCACGCTCTAAAGGCCAGTCACAGCGCACAGCGCACAGCAAGCACGTCCAACATCCATTCCCTACATCTCCAAGTGCCTCCTCAGAAGGTACAGTAGTTAGACCCTGCAAACTCACCCCACACCTTCTCAGAAGGTACGACTGGAGGCCTAGGGATTTATCACTTCCACCGCACAGCAAATACCACGGAGCCTTCTTGAGGAACCAGGCACAAGTGAAGGCTGCAGTGACCACCTTTCCGTCGCACGACAGCATACGACTCTCATGGGGTGCACGGGGTTTGATTCACGTGCTCATGAATCTCATGAAAACAACATGGTCAAGAAATGGACAACCACCTGTTTGCAGTGGAAAATGGTCTTCCAAGGGGCCATTCTCCACTTCCATGTTAGTTCCAGGGGAGTGTAGATGCCAATAGAGTCATGCATGATGTCTAACGAAGGTCGGCTCTTGATCCATACACCCCCGATATAAAGGAGGTTGTTCAATCTCAATGGCCCAATGGGGAGGGTTTATGTATCACGAGTCAGAGTTATCCTTACTCCCGAGGTTTTTCCACATCTTGCCACTCACGGCGGCGACATCCCCAAGCGACGACACGTTCCATCACTTTCCACCACCAAAACCCTCCTCACTTTCCACCCAAACCTGGCCTTTTGCTTGGCCTTGGAGCGGGAAAACTCATCGTCATGGCACAAGCGAATGCCGTGCTTCAAGAGCCTCGCTCTGGCGACGTTCGTCTGTGCCGTGGCAGCTCCGTCTGGGATTCGTCTGGGATCCGTCGCTTCGTCGCTTCTACGGTGGATGTGTGGGAGACACGGCGTCTGTATGGTGCCGTCGGGTCGCGTCCGAAGACCTCGTAACCGAGCACCAAATGGACTGGAAGCTCGGTCCTGGTTGTCTGCGCCGACCTCACCCCAAAAGCACACAGAAATCGCCCAAACACGAGCTGTCTGGGACTGGAAGATTGGCCGCCCCATTCCCAATGTTAGGTATATAAGTATGCTAGTCCTATGGATGGTCTGGGTATAAATCATGGAAAGAATGGTCCGAATGCCAAATGTTGCCATTTGTTGTCTCTCTCACTTAAGTAGATGAGGGGCAGCCATGCGCAGCCCTATCCTCCAAGATAGGCACCCCTTTAGAACTACTGGTGCGTTTTAGGTGGTTTTCATGTTCATTCACTTGTGTATTTGAGGGTCACTCAATGGTGGCCACATGGGCATTTGCAAATCTATAGGGTGTTGAGTCTTCCAGAAGGTGGGATGATTCTTCCATCCGCTTCCAACTCCATCTTAGGAAAGGGCCAGCTAGCCATTCTGCAAAATCCTAGAGCCAAGTTAAAAATGGTCCGACCGACCTCAATTGAGCACTGGTTTTGCCTTACTAGACCCAGTCAAATGAGGCCCCTAAGACCTGTAGAGGAATATATATATATATATTTAGTAGAAAGAAACCCTCACCAACGGGTATACACCGGTATGTTTCCCCACCTCACCCAAGGACCTAAGGAGGCTCCGTCCTTCGGCCAGAAATCATCCTTCCTCGCCTGTCGATGTAGAGGCGCCGAGAGTAGTTGGAGTCGTTCGTGGCGAAGATCACCTGTTTCCCGGCCTGGAGGAGCATACGTAGCGAAGGCGGTCAGGCGAAGGTTGCTAGCCTCAGCCTCTCCCGGTGGAAGGCAGATGATCCAATGCTCTAAGAGCTCGGAGTCGGAAGCAGTGGGAAGGGTGGTGAAGCAGGGCCCAGCCATTTTGGGAGTTGAACGATGAAGAAGAACACTTTTGTGGACCCCTGACTCGACCTCACCAAAAATGGGTATATACATCGTGTGTTTTTGTCTTAGAACTTGAAGAATTCCGCACCAGACTCGCTATAGGAATCATGGCCATTGGTGTTTATTGGTGCCACACCAACATGAGTCTTCCGGATGATTCACGAATCAGCCCAAGTTCGATGCATCAAACATCAAACATCAAACCTTCTGGGCTCATCTCAAAAGAACTCCAAACTCAGTGATGGCACCACAAACCTCAACGATTTGACCAATGCCCTGATAACCTCTATCTACCTTTTCTATCCAAAAAGATCCAGAGCTCCTATAAAGGCTATTTCATTGCATTCGGCTGTGGTTTAATTACATTTGGCAGTTTGGTATGTGTGATATAGAGTGGTGGTGCTTTACTGGGCCACCGTGGTGGTGGTGCTACTGGGCCACTTGGAAACAGTAAGTGAATCATGTTTATTTATTTACCAACATGCAGGGTCAAAGTACCACAGTTGCGCTGACGATACGACACCGGTCTCGTCTGCACCCAGCGGCAGCAATGAGGCTATTCACCTGGCGGAAACGTTTGATGGTGGTTGGTTTGGGGCAAAGGCCATGGCGATGGCGGACTGCTATAGGATGGTGTTGCGATGGTTTGGGGTAGGTAACTGGAGAACCTATAGCTACCCTGTGAAGCATGTTGGATCTATGTGCATGTGCATATATCATACCTTATCACATGCAAAAAAGGTCTTTGGGGGTGAATTTAAAAGGGTCATTGGAGACTCAAGGTATATGTTATATATATTATATAATATATGACGTACAATATTAGATCTTTGCATTTCCTTCCCCCATGAGAGGGGAAAAAAACACACACACAAAAGCATGCATCTCATGGGGTTTGATGGGCAGGCTCGGGATCACACCTGCCAGGACCAATGGCTGTCCACTTCGCCCGCGTCACGCGTCGCGAAGGGACGGTGCTACCTCACTCGTGGTCCAAACCCCACGCCTCCAGTCGTACCTCCTCAGGGTAGGTATGACTGGACCCGAACATGGCACCCACCCCAGTCCCAAACGAAACAAGTCCAGTACGACTGGAGGCCGTTCGGGAAACAGTCGTCAGAGCTCTGCAGGGTCAGAGCTGTGACCAGGCCGACCGGTGAGGTTCCGAGATCCAAGGACCCCAACCATTCCACAGCTCGAGACGCGCGCGCGCGCGCCCGAGGTCACGCGGCCACCTTCTGAATCACCTGCTCCTCCAAATCCAAGTTGGACACACCCTGCCCCAAGCTGTTTCGCACACCCCACAAGGTGCCTCGGGTCTTCGAGAAAAGAAACGGGAAGATGTTTTTCTTCTGCGTCATCCTTGCATCATGGTGCTCCCCAATAAAAGAAGGTGCGTACCATGCTAGACTGACAATGTCCAGTGTCCTGTCCTCAGTTGGAATAGCTTCCCGTGACATACCGTGACAACATCAGCAACAACCTGTGGTTCTTCAGTAAGCATGACAAAAACATCACGCCCAAACATGTGACACTCTGACCTAACATGTTTCCATATGTAAGTCTACCGAGTCTACAACCACGTCCATGGAACGCCAAGAGAAACAGCCGAGATGCGGCTCCAAGCCCTACATGCCAAATGAATCCAAATCAAAACGCCTGAAAAAATCCTTATATACATGCTATTAATACAATATAAGCCAATCACCATACATGCCTTAATGAAGTAGCCTCTGTTGTGCCAATCAAAAAGCACTAATTTGACCAACACCTCGTGCCGACCTCTCGGACTTGTTGATTCTGTTCTGTGCTGCCAAAAGGCCATGCCCATCAAAGATATATGTCTCAGCAGAATCAAACTCCTGGCGCGCTGCGCGTAGCCGTTCCTTTCTACATGACGGCTCAAGACTTAGGTGGGGTGAAGCTGGTGCTGCGCAGAAGGTACTCCAAAGTAGTAACAGCAAGGGTGTGGGCAAGACCTGTGGTTCTCACAGAAACCGTGATCATGTTGGGAAGTCTCTGGTAAGAAACCTCACCTGTTCAAATCCATCATGTGTGATGTCGCCACCTGTCGCACCAGCTGTTAAGGCCACGTGCTCGGGACGCGGACTTCGTTTGGCTTCGAAGCGGTCCGATCGGGTCTGCCGCCCCACGAACGAACGAACTCGCGCGCGTTTGGAGGTTCAGTACCTAGATGTTTGGAGCTGGAGCCGAGGTTTGGAAGATAGGAGGTAAGCATCTGGTACTGATGGAGGCTGATCCGAGATGCTAGAATCCCTTGATGGTAAGCATCTGGTACTGACCCGAGGAAGGTCCAAAGAGATGGAGTTAAGCACGGTTTGCTAGAATCCCTGGAAAGCTCAACCCTTTTTTTTTGGGGGGTGAGGGAAACATGTTGCGATTTCATGACGGAGCCTCCAAGTGCTTCCGTGAAGAAGAAACCTGTTCTTACCTTAGACAGTCCCGTGGCCATGCCTCCCGCTTGAATTGCGTGGCTTGATACCTCAGTCAGGCAAAAGCAAGTACGAATTGGCTGTCCCATTTGACTTAAATTTGATGGTGACATTCCAATCACGGTCGATGTTTTACACATGGCTGACATCTATAGTCACCAGTTCAACCATTTCACACATTTTCACTGCCAAATCCGTCGCCTCAACACTCGCTCACGGCTTCTGCCAGAGTCAGCTTCGCTGCTCGAAAGCAGAGAAAATCACCTGCCCCGCCCAACCCAAAGCTCTTCACATCAATGATTTGATTGGTGCTTTCCACTTTCAACTCTTGCACGAACAAAGTATGAGTCAGTGGGATTCATATCCCGTAAAGCTTGTGAAGTGTTCAACAATCTCTGAACCCACTCACCCCCTCACCCATTTGATGGACTCCGATCCGGTCGCTCCCGTCCGCTCGCTTTGTCAATGAATTGAGTGGCCAGTGGTCGTGAGCTTCGGTGCCACTGGGCTCAGGCCCTGGAAGCAGCTGGACGTGCTTCTGGGATTCCAAGAGCCACTCAGCCTGGTGACTGTGACGTGAGCGCATCGTTTCCGCGAGCTGGAGGTCCAGCGTTTCGTGGTGGACGGCTACATATCTGGAGGGACGAGTTGCAGGGAAGTGCAAGATGTGGAGTCTGAAGTGGGTGAGATGTGGGGCTGCACATAGAACAAAGCAACTGCTTTGTTGATGCGTTGAGGGAACCCTTTTTCCGTTCCAGTCGGCCCGCAAAGCAGCAAAGCGATGTCCTCTAAGGTGTGACGGTCCATCGCTGAAAACACACTTGGGGTGCTTGGCTGCGCACCAATAGGTGTCTATGCTGGCGTAGTCTGAGGGTACTTGCAGGGGTCCAGTGTACTTCCAAATTTTGGTGACGATGCGAAGTGACATGTTCTCACCCTAGGGCTCCAACCATATCCTCAGGTTCGGTGGTTAGACCCCCCAAACCCACCCCAACCATCTTCGAAACGGAGGTGGGCCCGGAGCCCAAACGGGTCACCTCACCACCACTGGAGAACAACTCCAAACAGTTTAAACTGCTCATCACTTTTGAGGCGACGATCTCACGCTCTCTGGGAGTACCGCTGTGAGACACCGAGAGGCACTGAGGTTTTTGAGGCTCACCCGGAGCTTCTCGGAGAAGTACACCTCGGAAAGTTTGGTCGTCTGGCTTTGCACGCGTCCAGTCCTCTAGTTGGTGGATTGAAAACACCTGAAACTTGAAACGTGCAAATATGAACAGGCTCCCATCATCCCAGGAACAAGTTCCTTCGTCAATACTTCATATTTAGATTCATTGGGCACCACATCCCCAAATATACTGCAAACTGCAAACTACCAATGGAGTGTGCAATCGCACTAAAAGATGTGAAACTCTGGCCAAAAAGTGTAGGGCCCTGGCCCTTTGGAATCCACAATTTAGTGAGGGCAGCAGCCAGTTCCTTTTTGCTTGGGGTGTGGGCGCAGAAACATACTATCCAAAAGAAAAACATAAAAAAACAAGGTGATAATAGGCGATATCGAAAGACTCCTTCAAGTTGAGTAGGTGGAGGAATGGCAAGGTTTGTCATTGGGTGCTCATTTCCGTATCTTGCCTGTTTAGAACAAATCTTACCTTGCGTGCCCCGTTTTAATTCTAGGATCTTTGCCACGTGGAAGTTCAAGAAACACCGTCCTGGTCCTACACCGGATGGCTTGTGATGGCTTGTGTGGTGGTCGCATGTGTTCTTTTCACATCATTTGCGTATACCTTTAGCACCCCCCGATGGGGAAGGGCCGGAAGGCACGGACACGTCTGACGACCGTGAGGGGCGGTGTGGTGGGTCTAGGAGAGGCTTCCAAGCACTGCATAGCCGCGGAATAGCCGCCTTGTTCTCTACTGATTTAACTAGATTACCTCGTTTAAATTCAGAAGTGCACCTCGCACCTCGTTTGCCCTCGCTATCACTTGTACAGACCCATGTATCTACTATAGACACTCTACTAGACTCATCCAAATCACCCAAGCACAGCTCTGCATGTGTCCCGCAGACCCAAGAACATGTCTCTCCCTCGACCTGCCCATGTCATGTCCACTCCCTTGTGAAGCGAAAGCCACGGACTTCAGCATCAGGCAGGCTTTCCCCGGATGCATCGACTGGACGCTCACCTCGATCGGCCCCACGCGGGGCCGGTCAGGGTCCCCTTGAGAAGCTCGGTGCACGAACGACCACCGTTGCGGGTCACGACGCCACCGGAACGAACGACCTCAGAAGGGTCGAAGGGCATCTCGGTGGCCATCAAGCGTTAACACCAAATGGTCTAAGAGCCCAGGCAAACATGACCTACTAGGATCATCCGGTCTGGGTGTGCGACCTGCGAAGTGAGGAGGTCCCCCACAATGTGTCACGCATTGAAAGTTGGTCCATTGGCTCATGAGATGACCCGGGTTGACCCATGGGATGATCCAGGTACCATCTATAACCCAGACACGACCCATGGGACTGCTATATATGGCTACGTTGACCCCCAAAACCACCTTAATGTAGATATGGCATACATGGAGAGTCTGGGTAATGAATCTACCTAGACCTTCCTGTCGGGGTGTCCTGTCTGGAGATCCATGTAGTATACAGGCTTCCAGCTGACGGTCGGAAGGTGCTGGTATATAAAAGAATTTAAGTTTAACCGTAACCGGCACGACGCTTAGCAACAAAAGTTGCCTAAAACCATCTCACGTTCGCTTCGATCATCGATCATCACATTCGAAATTGAGTCCAGAACAGCTCGGGAGTTCCAAATATCTTTGATTATTATTATCACGTTTAGCGAACCACCTTCAAATTGAAGTCATCCTATGATTGAACCTTGGATCTGTTGGATCTATCATATATCCCATTACGTTTCAGTGGATGGTTAGGTCAGGTTGCAGGCCTTTCCATCTCTAATAGCGATGTTCTTGTTTACCGATGGCTCTACAGGTTTACTGGGACACTCAATTTGAATTAAACAGTTGATGAATGGTTGAACCCCGATTTCGGCTCGAAACCTCCAAGATTTCGGCTCGTGCCAGCTTGATTCATCAATTATATCCCTCATGATTGTGTTTATCCCTCATGATATTGAAATCCACTTCGTCCAAACTTCCGCACCTGGAATCGCTTTCCAAGGGCGGCCAGCACACGGCCATCTTCTAAGACCTCAGTGGCTGGAGTGAGTCAGTGCTTCAGCCGTGCTTTTCCAGCAAATGATGCTTCTCAACTGGAGATGTTTTGAGAACCTTTTTCTGAGTATTATCACCAAACAGCTCCTTCCCCAGGATGTTCGCTCGGTTTGGCTGCTAAGGTCTGCCTCACACCCTTTCTGCGAACTTGCAACATACACATCCAGGAACATTAACAAAAATTGATCGGAAAACAAATGTCCTCTACGGCCCATAGTGGTTTTCAGGTTGCTCAAGGTTAATCTTCCATCGAGTAGTCGATGGTTGGTTGGTCAATCAGGTGGTTGCCGTTTGGGACAGAACATGCGCGCCCCTCTGCCCCTGTCACACAACAGCATACCACACGCAGCCGTGTCTGCAGAATTATAATATGTTTGCGCAAGCAGCTAGTGCTTCAGTCTCTATGCGGCGATTTCCCACATCACATACCTTAGGGCTCCAGTCGTACCTCCGAAACGAAGGTATGACTGGACCCGAACATGGCACCCACCCCAGTCCCACCTTCGAAACGAAGGTCCGACTGGAGCTACCTCTGAGCCTGTGAATGTCTTGTACCAGAATCGTTGGCATCCTTCATCCCAGGACACGGACACAACGATGCGAAGGGACGCGGAGTAGCTGCGAGCTGCTCAAACTTCGCCCGGAGCACCCGGTGCCGTAGTGGAATTCAAAGATACTGTCAGATAGATGTGAAAACCCAAACTGGCATGACTTGACTCTCCGGCATGCCATCTGCATGGCAACGAACATTCCTCGAACCCTGCAGGCAGAAAAGCCGTTTCCAGGCAAACAGCCACACCCGTCGGAATCAGGTCCTCTCAGTGCCCGCGTCAGTCCAGGTCCATAGCGACCCTCTCAGGTGTCTGTGGACATACAAAGGGTGAACCATTTTCCAACTGTTCTTGTCCCCCTAAAAAGGCACCCCCAAAAGCATACGTCAGTGCAGCACCTCGAATCTAACACCGGTGCTGTCCACACCTACTATCACCGTAAGAACCCCTAGTGTGTCCACATTGTTTGGGTAAAAACATGCATTTTGGGAACATCATGATTCATGGCCCCTAAAAAAGAGGTGAATGAAATTGTGATCCGCACTGAACCAGGGTCATCCTCCCATTTGGAAGTGCTAGCAATGTTGTTTTTGCAGGGCTCCTGTCCCATATCCTCAGGTTCGGCGGTATTCGACCCCCCCAAACCATCCCTGGCACCCACCCCAACCATCTTCGAAACGGAGGTGGGCTGTTCGGAGCCCTTCAAAGTGATCGAACTTGAGATCCTAGAATGAGGTCACTCAAACAGAGACTCCCTACAAAGAGGTCACAAACAAAGACTCCAGTTCGAGGTCAACTGCCAGGACCTGAGCCGTTCGTGACCTCTTTGGAGTCTTTGTTTGTGACCTTTGACTGGCCTACTAAGTGACCTCGGGATATCAAGGACGGTCATTTTATGTCACTTTGAAGGTCCTGGTGCAGGTTCTGGATGTTTTGTTGTTTTTCTTCGCACACGTTGGACGGCAAATACCCAAGGCACGGTCTTCACCCAGGAGCCGTCGTTGAGTTGACAGCCCACCTCGTTCGGTTCCCGGTGCGGGGGGACAACCCCGTGCGGGAACCACTCGGGTGGGGGGGGGATGAAGTGCCAGAATCGAATTGAGAGCTTTTTGGCAAATGAAACGCAACAAAAACGCCAAAGTCATCCAAAGTCCGAGTGACGAATCCAATTGACCTAGTTAATTAGTATGTCTTGTTGGAACAGCTGCAAGTCACGGAGACCACATGAACCAGCCAGGGTCTTGTTGGGCGACCTCGAGACGGTACGACCTCTCCGACACTAGGGCCACTAGGGCCACTGGCCAATGCATCTGGGATCGGCGCCTGCGCGTTGAAGGGATAGACATCATGGATCTTGCTGGGATAGACTAGGGCTTGAAACTTTAGTGACGGACGGACGCACTACTAACTAACTAGATCTGATGATAACATATGATAACACTTTGTTAAGCACATCCTCCGTTTCCAAGACTTACTCTGGGTGGCAGGGCCACTCTGGGAAAACTCCGTCTTAATTAATTGTGCTCCACACAGACTACCCCTTCAAGTGGAGCTGAGCAAAAAAAGAAAAGTAAACAGTTTTGACATCTTAGTCAAACTGGTGTCCCCAAAAAAATAGAACAGGAGCACTACATGTTCATCAACAACAACAACAACAACATCTTCAACATCCGAATGTCAAACCTTGTCTCTTGGAATATTGCAATAATACATATGAATTACCTCTTTAACCATACTTGGATACCCCTGCAAGCACTGCTGAGGTCCTGCAAGGACCTTTTGTGAGTGAAATGATGTGAACTGCAGTTCATCACACAACGCCTCTCTCACATCACTTTCCACTAGCAGGACCTTCCAACAGGTGGTTTTTGGACACCCCTTAACCTCTTAAGAGGCTATTTATAGGCACCTCTTGGAAGGTCCTGGTACTGAAACGCTCCGAAGCTCACCCACTAGAATCACCACCAATCTTTCTGCTCAGGGGCGACACACATGTGTCCCCGTTTGCCACACGCACCGTTTGCCACATGAACAAACGTTCCGTAGGCCCTGCCTGTCTACGTCAAACCACATGGCACATGGCAACTCTTCACTTCGACCTCTTTATATAGTTGCTATCGAAGAGCAACCGGTATGACCAAAGAGCTATCGGACGGACCAAATGGGAAAAGGGACACCACTTTTCATCTCGAGGTACACTCATACGAGTGTAACAGTGTATAACAAAGGAATCAGTGTAACAGTGTAACAATTACTTGTCCTATAGGATACCTGCTTCGTTTTGCAGCTCCCAGGTTGCCCTCTTTGCGGGTTCTACTTGGACTCCCCGATTTAAAGTGATGAGGGCCGCGCCCAAGAGGTGGAAAGGATTGTATATCCCTAGGGCTCCTGGCCCACCTCCGTTTAACCACCGAACCTGAGGATATGGGACAGGAGCCCTAGGGTATTAGGTTTCTGTCCCAATCATCTTGGAGGATGAGTTTCGTCCGACGTCCCAACATCTGGGAGGCGATGTAGTGTGTCAAACGTCTAGACGTCTAAGAAGTAAAACGAATCCTATCCTATTCTAACCCTTAATATGCGACCCGAAATCGAATCGATTTCAAGAGTACAGCTAGTGCAACTCTTTCACGCCGGTGCCGCGCGGCCCGCCGGCAGGATCTGCGCCTCTGCAGGGTCCACATGGAGCTCGCAGCGGTGCTTCGAGCCGTCCCGCAAAATGCCCTGACCAGCGGTGCCAGTCGAGCAAAAGCCCCGGAGGGCTTCGGTCAGACCTGTATCTACGAGCGCTCGTCATTCAGGAGCGCAAGCTAGTCGAGCAAAGGCAAGCTGGAGGCTTAAGATTGGACCGGGGTGCCATATTGGGGGTGCATCTGTTAATTCATAGTCGAAGTTCCTCAGAGTTTCCGAAAGTCCTGGCCACCCCCATTGGTTCTGCAAAACGTACGAAGATGTAGAGTTAGATGTCTTGGGGCCTAAACGCTCCGAGTTCGGCACCGGACATCAATCAAGTTAGTGCGCTCTAATCCCTATGGATCCACATACCTTGTCAGAAGGTGATTGGAGACTACTTATGTTGGTGCCAGGAGGGTCCAATGACCTTCTGAAAAGGTATGTGGATCCATAGGGAATTATAGAGGAACCTGCGATTAACGGTTCCCAAAATTCACCCACGGGTCAGACACCCCGTTGCACCGGGGCTTTGGCAAAGAAGGACTTCAAGAGCCCGAACCCAAACACTCCATCTATGGAATGTAGTACAGTGATATGCCTACATTGAGGTTTTCAAAAATAAGACACCCCTGTCCTGATTGGCAAACCTGTATGATCGTCCCACACAGGGAGCGTCTGAGATGTTCTCACCAGATCACCCCCAAAACCGCCGTGAGCAGCGCCGCGAAGTCATCGACCCCTCCATCGACCTCGAAAATGGTGCGAGCGACCCGGATCATCGAGAGCAGTCGGACTGAAGAGTTTCGTTCCACTCGTGGACCATGGACCTCGAGGTAGACCACTGTGCTCTACTACCAGGACCATCCTGTCTGGGTGTCCTGGCTGCACCACCCTGCACTACTTAGGGATCTCCAAACAGGACACCCACACAGGATGGTCCAGGTAGTTTCATTCAAGTCTTCATGTCAAGGGGTCTATGTTCAGCTTTTGGTGCAATCCTCAAAGGTCGGCGAATGTGGCCTCGAGGTCACACAATGGATGCCCAGGGCAGTGACGAATGCAGCACGTCCATGTGCGAGTTGATTTGAAATACCACCAACCCAACACGTAGATTCCCTCTGATTCCCGAATTGCCGGATTTCCAAATCCTCCGAAATCCTCCGAAACCCGAACCCACTCCGCCTCCAGCTGCACTCGTCCCCCTCGGAGTCGCCTTGGCGCAACAACGCCCCCCAAGCGCTTCGCTTGGACGACCACATCCGCCGACCCCGTGCCCATCCGGCGTGGTGGCCCCCGGCGAACCATGCTGCCCCAAGCGGCACGTTGGTGACCACCTCGCCGCGGTTGTTCGACTGGTTGAAAAGCTTCAGCGCCTCGCCAAGGAGCGTCTTTCTCAGCACGCATTACAACGTGAAAGGAGTTAAGGTGAGCTTGAGTCTCTCAGTTGAGTGAAGCGAACTGGGACTCCCAAACCGAAAGTGGAGCCAATGAACTCCATCTTTTGTAGGGATCCAGTCGTAACCTTCTCAGGTTCGGTACGGCTGGACCCTCCAAACCTACAAATTAGTGTCTCCAATCACCTTTTGAGATCTTCTGAGAAGGTACTTGGATCCCCTAGGGCCCTAGGGTCTGTTTCAGCGACTAATTCGTGGGGTGTCCCAGAGCATTTTCCTGAGAATTCTCGGCCCCCCAATAATTTGGGACATGTGTGCCACGAGAACAGCGGCAATGATGTTCGTAGGGTTGTTTCGCTGTTTCACGTTGCGCCCAACTAGGTTTCACTGGGAGGCGGCAGTACACATCTATGTTTGGAGCTTTTGGTGGGACATTCTGGTGTTTGACATGGATTCGAAACGTTTTGATTCTACCGGTTTTTGTGCTATCACCTTTAACGAACTCAAAGAGTCAAGGCTGATCCCAAAACCTCAGCCAGCACGGGTGGTGCCCGATCCAACGCTGGGCTCCGCACGGACATGTTCGAATACCTCAGGAGACACGTCCGGCACCTGGTGACCATGGGCACTGACCATGGGCGCCTCGAAAAACACTGGTCAGGTCTATACCAGGACCTTCAAAGTGACCTTTTGACCATTGGAGATCCCCCCAAAAAAGAGGTCACTGAGTCCCTTTTTCAAGAGGTCACTTATAGACTCCAAAGAGGTCACTTTGAAGGTTCTGGTATATATGTCAATGTGCTTGATGTGGCAGGGACAAATCACTATAAAATACTAATACAATGTTAAATAATTACTCTGCTTAAGAGAAACGATCCCTCTTTGGACGGTAGGTAGGAATGATCAACACTGTACACAGTACCTTGAGTCTCCAATGACCCTTTTAAATTTGCCTTTCCAAGAAAAAGAGGTTTTTGAAAGAAAGCACTCTTTTTTGCATATTTCATGAAATGTTCCTTTTTTGTTTGTGCCCTGTCAGATCCTACTTAGACAGTGTCCTGAGACCTTTTTTTGGCGTCCAAAACGCGTCTTTTTGCGTCCAAAAGGCGTCTTTAAGCGTCCGTGCCGGACGCGTCCGGATGAAGATTCACTCTGCACCTTTTTTTGAGTCCTCATCTCTAAAAACGCGTTTTTCGAACAAAAACGCAAAAATATTAGACCAAAAACAAAAACGCAGAAAAAAAAGGTCTTTGGAGACTCAAGGTAGATTCGGGAACTCCAAGAAGGAATTCCGAGCATATGTCAACTTTTCAAATGTTCCTGTTCCATCCTGTTCCAGCAATATTTTATATAATTAAACAGTTTGTTCTACCGTGTTCTACCTGATTCTACCTGTTCCAAGGATGTCAATACTTGCTCATCTTGACCCCCCAAAATGTCTCATTGCAGTTGAAGGACCGAAAACCCCCAGAACTTCCTCATCAAAGTGCATGGCCATTCCCAAACCATCCATAGGACTGGAATAGTTACAGTACCTACATGGGATCAAACAATTGTCATTTTCAGGGAGTTTTCATACACGGCGACTATTTCAGACATGGATGGTCTGGGAGTTCTCAAAGACCAAAAACCTGGTGAACGCACTCCACAATGACCCAATGGATTCCGGCCGGGAGTGCATGGAGGGACTCGCATGCGCGATGAAGATGAAGGTTCCTGGCACATCAACAAGTCCCCTTAGTCCCCATACCGGCCGCAAGTTAGCAAGCGTCAGCCTGGCCCATAAGGGGCGCCAAGTTCATTGATACCCTCCCTCTGCCACAATCATGGAAGCTGGAGCAGGCTCCACTTGTAGAGGATCATGGTCCTCCAGGGCCGAAACATGCTGCTCCCATGGTTCTTTCAGGGGGTGTGGATCTTATAGCCTAGGGCTCCAAATACCTTCTGAGGAGGTACTTGGAGCCCTAGGGCTTATAGCCTTCCAGTCTTCCACAGTTTGTAGTCGCCTACCTGCATATGGCCTTCAAAAACCTCCGTCTCGCCAGCGGTTTTGGAAGCCTCCCGCCACCGCCCAGCTCGTCATCGCCGCGCCCAGCTGCGAAGTATCGGCGGTGACCACCAGCAGACCACTCCGCGTATGCCGCACCACGGTGGGGCTCTCGCCATGTGGTTGATGACCGCTGAAGACCTGGGGTTCTGGAGCGAGGAACAAGACCAGACCACACGAGGTGTTCCTCAAGGTGCTGGAAAAACCCCGTGACGCACTGGGCTGGGTTTGTGTACAGGACCAAGAGTGCAAATGGGCCAGTGTCATCATGTGTCATCCACTTTCAGAACACAGTAAAAACCCTAAGAGCTCGGCTGAGGCGCACTGCCTCGTCTCGAAGCAGCCCCGGAGCTGGGTAGGCGCCTACATGCGCCTACCCCCTCTCCTTCACCGCGCTCATCACGATCCTTTCTTGCACGAGCTGGTCCAGCTTTGGAACCCATCCGAAAAAGAAGGCATCCGTGTTTTCAAGGCCCATGCTCGTCTTCAACCACCGGTCCGGTGAGGACGACATGCAAGAGCACGACACGGTGTGGCGCGGACCAGAGGACCAGAGTGGCTCATCAGCGACCTATGTACACGTGACTGGCGCAGCGCCCGAAGTTGAAGCTCAAATCTGGCCACAAAGTCTCCTCCTGGCAGATTTGGGCTGCGATTTGGGCTGAGAAGGGCGCCACTTGGTGGAAGATTCTGCGCTGAAATGTCTTCAATAAATCCAGTTACAAGATGTTACAAGTTACAAGTCCACAAATCTGCTGGCTTCATCATTCACAGATGCCACTTGCAAAGCAGTGCGAAATCCACCACATCCGTGTCTGAGCAATGTTGGTAAACAAAAACGGGTCACCCTCAACTTGCCAAAGCAGCTTGGGCATCCGTGTCGCCATCACCTTTCCAACCCGTACTGGTCATTGACCAGTTCCAAACCGCTCCGTACTGGTCAATTTGACCTACATTCACATACATTTCATGCAAAAAAACCCAAAGGACCGGACCCCATGCTGTACATGGAGCATCTGGAAGTGATTGGGCCAGCCACGGCTGATGTCCGCGTTTCTTCCTCTTTCTCGGATGCTGGCCTCGTCCAGCTGCGGTTTCAGCAGCTGCACTTCCACCAGGTTGCTGGTGCTGTGGAAGGAAGGGTTCAGCTGATCCAACACATACCTTGAGTCTTTGGCCGGAAAAACACAACTCCCACATCATTATAAGCGATCAATGGCCTCCCACTGCTATTTCCTGCCCCCACCGCGAATCGTGTGATGAAAGCGTGCAAATGCGTCTCCAGCGACCGGCAAGCCCTGGTGCCGTTCCTCGTCGGCGTCCGCCGGATCTTCTTAAGACCGACAAGCTCAGGAAACAGCAGTGGACTCTTTTGGGTTCAATCCTCGCGGTACAAGACCTTGTCCAACGACAAGCGACCAGTTTGCTCCGCAGGGATATGCCAAACCGGGAGGCATCACCCCCAAATCCAGAAAACCGAAGCACTTGTGTTGTATCCTCATCACTGAAGCTAAACCCATAAGACCTTGAACTGGAGCCCCTGTTTGTGACCTCGATCACACTCCTATAGCTAAAAACATGAACTAAACCAGGGGATCGAGTTTGGTCGGGAACATGCCCCCTTTTCTGCCGCGTCCGAGGCCGGAGGCGTCGCAGAGGCACGATGACATGGCATAGGACGGCTCAATCTCCAAGACCAGCCGTTGCGGTGTTTGCAGCAGTTCCTGAGGACGAAGGTCTCTAAGAAGGCGGAGGTCGAAGCAGATGTTGCTGAAGGATGCTGAAGGCGTTTTTTGCGCACCAAGAATGGCAGGGATTGGGAGGGGCGAAAAAGCTTCGAAAGACCGAGGTGATGCCCAGGTGAAGGCATTCTCGGTCTTAGCCCTTCAAACCAACACCCCACGTGCGTTTGGGCACCAAAACCAGAACCTTCCCAGTGACGAAGGTCCAGGAGTCCGGGTTTGTACCGACCAGGCCAGCGGCTCAAGGGAAGGTCACTGGGAAGGTGGAAGAGCGCTCCAACAGAGGTGGGTCAGAACTGTTCAACGATCCCAGGAACCGGTACCCCAGGTTTTCTGGGTCCTTCTTCAGATCACTGGCTACCTCTGTCGGCTCCCAAAAAGAACACCATCATGATACATTATAATTAAATCATACAACTTATGAATACATGGAGTCATATATCATATATATAATATATTTATATATATATATACAATATGTATATATTACCTGGACCTTCCTGTCGGGGTGTCATGTCTGGAGATCCATATGTAGTTTTTCCAGCTTCCAGCCAGGTGACCCCGAGGTCGGAAGGTGCTGGTACATACCTGGAGTCTCAGTTCGCACCTGGGAAATTGGGTACAAGTATACCAGGACCCTCCAAGGGGTGCCCAATGGAAGCCTATAGGTAGTGTGAGGTAGTCCATTGGACACCCTTGGAGGGTCCAGGTATATAATTGTTGTTTTGATGGGGTCATGTCCACTTTTCTAAGGTACTGGGTCAGTCGGGTCCAGGTAGCTATATCTTTCTCTTCGCTCCGTTGCCTCCCACACCTTACACACGCACGCCGCACACGGTGGTCGTTGCCGTTACCGAGCCGCGTAGAGCGCGCGGTCCGACATCATGGAGGACTGGCGCAGGCGCAAGCGGTGCAAGTGCGGTAGCGACTCCAAGAGGCGTGACACCGTGTTGTCCGTCCAGTACCTCGAGTACCGGCGGTGCTGAGCGTACCGGTACAGCGTGTAGAGGCAAGGCCCCTGTTGTCATGGACAAACTTGGAAGAGGCGCTGCAGGTACTAGTTACTAGACACACATTTTAGCGGAATGAGATCAGAATGTACAATCATGTACATATAGACTCCCTATAGGATCCAAGTTTGTACAATTCAAAGGACAAATCAAACCACTCTTCATGCCGCACTCTGACTCAGCCGGAGATCCGAAAAAAAAGGGTTCACCAAATGAACTCCACCTGTTCTTGTTTAGTGAGGTGCCACCACTCCCCACAAGAGGCTTTGCAGGTTATTACCGACTGGGTATGCACTATTAATGGGCCTATTCACTCCTCGTAGTGACTGACCTATAGAAGGCCGCTGCCGAAGCATACCCAACAGTATTAGACCACTGGGATCCACTTTAGGACTATCAATGTGTGGTAGATTTGCTCAAAGAGATCCCAACAAAGGTTAAGTGACCATATATTAGGACCCTACTGGAGTACCTATGGGATAGCCTATAGGGTCTTTCAACCTCTGTTGGTCCGGTTGGTGTATAGTTGGAGGTTCCCGTGGTAGACAATCTAGACGAGCTGAACTCTCGCCAAGTAGAACATTCACTTGGAGAAATGGGAACACTTGCTGGAATGGTTTTCCTGTCCCAGGAGCTCTCCAAGAACAGGTGTTTTACAGTATGTAGATCAGCTCACTACTGGCCAACTGAACAATACCCATTGAACATGTTTGGATGTCCAACACAAACACATATGCTCTTCACACTGCTCTTCACACTGCTCATACCCCAAGGCCAGCCACCTTCGTCCTCTGACTGACACAAACAGAGCTGAGCAAACGTGTGTGTTTTCGCGGACACCAGGCCATACCAGGCGACTCGGCCCGGTCCAACAAAAGCACTTCCAGCTGAGGGCAACCCTCCACCAATGATGCGATGCCTTCATCGTCGAAGGCGTGCCAGTTCCTTGGAATCGGCTGGCAGGCACGAGCGGCACCAGGTCATGCAGTGTGAGAAGGACACAGCAAAGGCGAAAAAAACAACGTGCACCATACTGAGTGTATCCTCGATCAACTGAATGAACTATCCCATAAGCCTCCAAGTAGAAAACCCAGGTGTGCGTTTACAATGAAATGACACGATTTTGCTGCCATATGCTGCCATCCCCCACAACCTGACTAGCCAAACTGTTGTCCCCCTTCAGATGGGTCTTGGAAGGGTCTATAGCAAGCACATAGACCCCCAAATAGATCGAAACGGAGATAGAAAAGTAGATCCCCTGTATTGGAACCCGTGCCACTATCCTATCCACTATCTAATTATGAGGACCATCTTCTATTTCTTCTGCCCAAATCGGCAAAACATGGCTCCCTTGCTGGCTGTTGCTGCGAGCCGAGCCGCAATTCCAAGCTCCGCAAGTTGGCTCGCTCCTGCCACCAGTTGGGCAGGCTGCCCAAGCGCTGGTGCAAGATCCCCGCGGAGAAGCTACGCACTGGAACTTCCAGGTCGATGAGCAAAGCGAACCTAAACCCCGGGTTCCCCGAACCACCGAGATGCCTAAAACGCCCCTTAGAGGTTCAGGGGTATCTATTAACCATCCCAAACCAGGGAGTCCTGGCAGGTGCTTTCTCCCGAAAATGGCCATGGGAGCTTAAGGCGCCTTTGATCCCTAGGCTTCCTCCAAATCCGCAGCGGCTCGTTGTTACAGTCTTCGGCCGGTCTGCTTGGTCACCAACCTTTGCTTTAACGAATCAAGAACTTACCCCCGCCACTCATAAAAATAAGAACAATTTGTATCTGAAACTATTCCGAACTACAGCATCTTGCAACACACACACGCAGCACACAACACTTTACACAGAAGAACAACACTTCAAAACAATTCATGTGCTCTTCATCGCGACTGGGAACTCTTCCAGCTCTTCTCCAAGCTTGCTCAGCAGCACTCCCAGCATGCCATCTGGGTCTTCCAGCACTCGTTTGCAACCCGACAGCTTGGCCCTCCGCAATTGGGGCCACAGCGCACGATCGGAGGAGGAGCTGATCGCGAGCAAGAGCTCATCAGAGAGGAAGTCAAAGGTCCTCAATGGAAAAAGCACTCTAGTATAAGGCTAGACTACAGGAAAATCAGAATAGACATGGACCACCAGGCTAGTCCGAATTCGAACACCTCAATTGGATTCAGCAAATGGACTTGTCCATATCTCTGTGATCTTTGAGAGGGGGCGGAGATATCGCAGGTGTGGCCAATTGGAAGTTCAGGCTGTCTCAGGTCAAAAGCGAAAGCGACTAGCAAAAGGGCTACGCAACATGCATGCACATATCCAGGCCGATGTAACAGCCAACTTGCGAGCCCTGGTAGCTTCTCATGGATTTGCTTCATGGGCCCAGTGTGCAAAGTAAAGGTTGGGGGGGTTCAAGGAAACTATCTGGGGTAATGATCCAACCCATGTTTCTGCGCCTGCTCCCAAGACTCAAGCTCTCCAAGTTCAGTGCCATCATGGTCTGTAGCACCGGCGTCTCCAGTGGCCCACACCTTTCGAACCAACGGCTGTCGCCTCCAAAGGCATCCTCCACAGAGATCGCCAGGTCCGCCACCCGCGGTGCTGAGTCCAAAAGAGCCCTCACAGCTGCCACGGTGCCTGAGGTAGTCGAGGTCGGTCGGTCGGTGCGCGAGTCAGTCCGCTCGCGCGACCAGTTATCTCGGGTATAGGCAAAACACGACCAGCCAACAGGTATAAGCAAACATATATATTATTACACCAGCCTATACCTGTTGGTTATAGCCATAATATAGGCAACTGATATGTTGGTTGCATACCTGATACCAGCCATATAGACAACTGGCCGATAACATCCAGTTTCAGAGACATATGGGTGATCGAGGATGGTGAAGTTTGTACGTGTTCTCCCGATGCCTGATTTTATAAACATCAATCTAACCGCTGTTTCAGAGCCTGCTAGCAATTTCCACCACGCAAGAACCACAGCCAAAGCTGATCATCAATCGCGCAGAGTATCTGGCCCTACGACCCTAACATTCCAGCCCCGAAATGCTGATCTTCATCATTCTTCATCCAGGTAGGGCATCTTCCAGCCCCCTTCCCGTGCTTCATGTTTCACCTGTCGGCCTTACCCCCTTTGGCCCCGCCGCACCTGCGCCGAGCCGTGCATCCGGTAAGGCCGTCAGGGCCAAACGCCGCAGCGGCTGCTCCGTGGGCAGCAGGGCCATGCTCGCGGCATTCAGCAGCCTCGCTCGCGGCGCCGGGACGACGTCGTCGCGCGTCAGACGGTCTGAGGGGTGGACGAATGAGGCCCGAAAAGGCTCCAAATACCTTCGTTTCGAAGGTGGGACTGGGGTGGAGAAATTTGAAATCCAAATACCTTCTGAGGAGGTCCTTGGAGGGTATAGGATATGGTATAGGGGTGGGAAGTTCAGGAAGCAAGAAGCCGTGGGTGCCCAGGGCCACGAAGATGCGGAACACCATTTTTCATCACATCAGACTGGAGGCTTTGTCGTTTCCCCCCCTCCCAAACCACTCCATGTATGGAAGAGCTACCTACATTGGGGTCATATGGGGTCATAAATGGGGTAAGTGCAACATGCAAACAACTTTATACGTGGATATTCTGGGCCTGTTTTTTGGTTCAGCCGAGCAGCTGCGCAGTGAGTTGCGCACTGAGTCGCAGTTCCCAAAGCTTCGGAGACTCCACGCAGCTGAGCAGGTCACAGGCGAAGGCTTGGGCCTGCCGGGCGGTGGTGCACACGGGTTTCGCTCCGCTCGAGAGATGACATGACCTCTGTTGATACCAACTCAGAGGCTTTTTTCAGAGCCCGACTGATCGACTATCCTAGTTGGGTATGCGAGGTTACTGTCCTATATAAGGTCAATGAAACTCTGTTGATAGGAAATGATCGGGTGTATCCTACTACCAGTGGACGATGGGGCTTGGTTGCAGGCCTTTCTCTAAAATAGTTATGTTCTTGCTTGGTGACTGTTACAGGTATAGGATATACCCAAGGAAACGACCGGGCGCGCTTGGTGGTCCAAGATACAGATCATTCAGGCTCTAGGCACGTTGTAGTGGTGTAGGGTAAACTCAACAACAAAGTACAAGATGTACAAGGAACTATGCAGGGATCCGGTTGAAGAACATGCGAGTTGTATTCATCATTCTGGAAAGGACAATTGGCTGCGTGTCGTGGGGACCAGAGCGTTGATGATGAGAAGTTCTGAGTGGGGCATTATTTGTCTTGAACATTCTTGAACAGGAGGTAGTTGCACCTTGTGGGCCCATTGACCATCTTGTCCAAGCTGCGTGGGCAAACGTGAAATCCTGCCAATGGGAACGAATTGCCAATCACAGTGACTCCAAAGACTCTAAACATATCTTCCACAATTCCAACATATCACTGGCAAGGCAAACTGGCAATTTCCATGGCAAAACCACCTCTTCCGAGCAAGGCAACACCTTCAAGGGATGCACTGGCAAGAGATGACGCGTTCACTGCAGGGAGCATCACATGTCCTACTCATCCTTGATCGACCTCATGGGATCGATATACTTCCTCATACCGGCAAGTCCAAAGGACGGGTTAAACTGGTGCGTTGACCCAGTGGGATACAACAATTGAAACGACACCAAACGTCTAATTGCAGTATGCAAATTCCCGCTCGGTCGATGCGAAGGAATGGAGCTCGCGCCTCCGGGTCGCCCAAACGCAGGGTCAAGGAGCGCAGCTGCCGGAGCAGCAGCTGCGCGGGTAACGCCACGCCCAGGTGTCCTGGAAGCGACCACACCCGTCGGACGCCGGTGCCGAGAAGAAGCTCCGGCGGGGCTGGAAGAACGGCGAGTCCGAGCTCCCAGTCAGAAGCAAGGTGGATCAAATGGATCCCTGAAATGATAAACCCTAGCTAGGGCTCCTGTCGCACCTTCTAAGGAGGTGTTTGGGGGTGGGTGGTTTTGGAGGGTCCAGTCAGACCTTCTGAGGAGGTACGACTGGAGCCCTAGGGGAAATGATAAACAAATTTATCTTGATGTTGGTGTTTTCAACCCACTTGGAAAAAATGAGTCAGAAGGTCCTTAATCGTCCCCAAGTGGTTGGGTTGAAAATAAACATATCCGAAACCATCACCTAGTATTATGGGTACAAAGGTCAAGGTCTTAGCATAGGATCTTTGGAAGATGTTGGAACTGTTTTTTTCCTACATGCGCAGGTTCCACACGAACCTGAGCCCTTGGCTCTTTGGAACCCATGGCTCAACCTACTCTCCCCCCACCAACTCATGGAAGTAAAAAACCCAATTCAAGGGGCCTCTTTTGCACTTCCATGGGAGTGGAGTGCGCCGCCATGGGCGCCCTCCCCGCTTCGCTACCTCCCAACGGTTCGCGCAGCGTCCGACCGTCCTTGTTGGAACGTGAGGTCCAGCGTTAAGACCTGCACTCCGACCTCGCTCCGGGCGCCCGCGTGCGTCAAACCGGTCGCTCCTCGGGGTGTGCGCCCTACCCGTGGACCTACCCGTGGACCTACCCGTGGTGTCGCTAGGAAGGCATCTTCCTGGACCCGGAGGTCATGGCACTCACCCCATCGACCTTCCAGCCCGAAACGAGTTCCGGGAGGTCGCTGGGGCACCGGAGGTTGGGAGGTCGCTGGGAGGGGGAGCGCGGGAGGCGACCTCCTGGAGAAGCTGACCGACTTCAACAGTCACTTCTCAGTCTTGGACCAACCTTGGAGGGGAAGATTGAACCAACCTTGGAGGGGAAGATCT